CCCCAAAACCCCAAAACCCCAAAACCCCAAAACCCCAAAACCCCTTCATTAGCCTCATTTTTGAATATTAAAATTAAGGTTTTGAGTAATGTAGCTGAAGTTTCTTACACGGGGATTTAAGGATTAGTCCATGAACTTGGTCTGCATGGATGTCACTTGGATCAGATTTGCCATATCATTATTTCCTCCACGGTTTCCTCGAGAACTGCCGCTTTTATGTTGACTTTGTTTGCCTACGTTAGGAGATGTCTGATCAGCAAATGATTTCATATTGTTAAATACACCTTCGAAATTAACTGGGTTAAGCTTTACTGGAACTTTAGAGCTAGGGTATTGAGAGTATTGTACCATTGGAGCCATCTTCGCTTCTGGCATCATTGTGTTTTCAATTCTCTCCCTCTCCTCAGGAGTGATTTCCTTTGTGTCAAGTATGAGTAGCCTCTGGAGCCTCTTCAAGACTGAGGCTCTATAAACTGGCTTCTTGTATATAGGGTTGTTGGTAAGACATAGTTCCATTAAGTTTGGACACCCTTCTAGTTTCTCAATGTCCCAAAAATCTGAGATTCTGTTCGCATGTAAGAACAAGAACTGGAGGCTTGTGAGGTTATCAACATATGCAAGGGTCTTTAACCCATTATCTTCTATTCTTAGTCACGCTATTTTCTGGTCTGGGCTGAATGAATTTGCTTCGAATTGTCTGATTCTGTTAGAAGATAGGTCTATTTCTCTCAAATCCATTAGATGATTTATGTTTTCAACCTTTGTGATGTTGTTGTTCGATGCATTGAATATCTTCAGTTCTTCCATTTTCACAAAATTTAGACCATAAAAGTCAGTAATATTGTTGTAAGAAATATCTAAAACTTCTAAGCCAGTCAGACCTAGGAGTCCTTTTGGGTAGCCATCTTCATTCTTAGCTCAGTAAAGTGTTTCTAACTTATTAGCAGAGACTGTTAGTATCTTCAAGTTGGGCAGGTATCCGAACCCTCTGAGTGTGACCATGTTGTTATGGGAAATATTGAGCTCTCTGAGGCTTGGGAATTTATTTTCATCAAACATCTCATCAAAATCTCTTAATTTTAGATGCGAAATATCAAGCTCTTTCAGTTCTGAGAAATACATTGTTGAGGCTCTGGATTCAAGGATCTCATCTGTAAGACGCCCAGCGAACATCTCATTAGATTGCTGGACCTCTGCTTGCTCTATGGACTGACCATCAAGGACTTTAAGACGCTTTTTGAGATGAAAAATGATATACACTCTATAGTAGTCCATCCTACACATCTCATTTCCAGAGATATCAAGGATAATTAGCTTAGGGAGTTTCTTCAATTTTCAAATTTCCTTAAGATTTGTGAATCAGTTGTTGCCAATATATAGCTCCATCAGGTTGTAGAAGTGTTCTGTTCCGGATAGAGAACTTATCTGGTTATCCTCTAATGATAGCTGGGTCAGGCTAGACAACCCATCCAAGTTCTTAATCATCTGAATCTTGTTTCTCCCGAGATCTAATTTCTTAAGATACTGTAGGTGGTCAAGACCTTCTATCTCTGTGATAAAGTTGTTCTCTAAGGAGAGCTCTTCGAGCAACTTTCAATGCTGAAGACCTTCAATTTTAGTGATTTTGTTATCACATAAAGAAAGTTTTCTGAGATTAGGACAGATATTTAAACTTTCAATTTTGATGATTTTCAGATGGTTGATCATCAAGACCTCAGAACTCAAGGTCTCACTGTACCCAGAGATGTTGTCTTCCCCGAGAAGTTTCGACTCACTCTTGAGCTTAGTCTTGCTCTTATGGCTAATCCCATTCATGGTCTGGTTGCTGGTATATTTTCAAATAAGTTCTTCAGTCATTACTGTCTCGGTATCATTTTGGAGGTCATTGTCATTAAGAAGGATTCCATCTATCTTTTTCATGTACGAAATTGTCTGAAAAATATAGCTTCTGTAAGACCCACTTGAGGCAATTGGATTACATTTGAGGGAGAGCTCACTTACAGGAAGGTCATTATCAACGATTACATGCACATCTCTAATATCGGAGATCCAGTTGTTGGACAAATCGAGGATGTTCAGGTCTTTTAATGTCTCGATTCCAGAAATTTGAGAGATAAAGTTGTGGTTTAGGTCGAGTCGTTTAAGATTCAATCACTCTTCTATCCCTTCTATGACCTTAATCTCGTTGAACCCAAGGATGAGGGTGACTATGTTTGTCAGCTCGTTCAGATTCTTCATCTCTTTTATGTTGTTATTAAACAGATTTAGGTACTTAATAAAAGACAAGTTAGTCTCTCTCGAAGAAATTTGGATTATTTCTGGAGTAATCTCTTCTACTTTCGGTCTGGATGGAATTTCAGGAGGAAGACTATTTTCAATAGCAGTTTTACTATTTTTAGCATCCTCTTCTGGAAACTTAAAGTTGTTTTCAAGAAGTTCTCCTACATAACAGTCTTTAAGATATTTGAGTAAGACATTATTTTAGACACCCCATGTCTCACCTTTCGATGTCTTGGGATGATATGTGAAAACTAGTTCCTTTTTCTCCGTTCTTAACATGAGGATTTAAGTATGTCTTCTGCAATATCTTAGATGCCTCGATTGTTGCTGATAAAATACTATTGATTTCTTTGGTTTTATAGAGTTTGCTCTCAAGTGTAACCACTGTATCTCGAGAGTAAATGTCTTCGAATACGTATTCAAATTCAACAAGATATTCTGGTAAAATCAGAGTTGTGTCGTATACATTCCACTTATTTGCGCTTTGATGAGTTTTCACCCTGCTCAATGGTGATGTACTTAGTGCCAGGATAAAACACTTTACATACCAGAATGTGACCAGATGGTAAGCTCTCAAGCTTCTTCTTAGCCGAGTCCACACTCATGTTGTGTGCAAAGTTAGGAGATCCGTCCTCACTTTTGTTCAAGAACGCGTTGATCCTTGGTGACTCTGCAGCCGTGATGCTGTTTACAAGAGCCACATACGGCTTCATGCCCATGGTTGTGTATTCTTCAGGCGACCTGAATCCTTCTTCGATGGCTCTGTAAATTTCGTTCGGTAGCACAGGGTCTCACCCATAAAACAGGTACTCGATCGACTTCTTCTGGATGGAGTCGGTCAAGTCCATGAGCAGTTCGATTTTGTCTTCGAACTTGTTTCTGAGAAACCGGTTGTGGATCCGAGTCACCCTGGAAATAGCCAGGTCGTAGATTCCATATTTGCGTTTCATGTATTCTTTGTCGAAGCGAGACTTGACAAGATCATCACAGCTAGTGAACCACTTATCGGAAGGTTTGCCTTCTTCGAAGCGGATGTTTCCACCAGTTTCAAGTTCTGTGATCATTCTGTGAATATTTTGCTCAGACAACTCATAAATTGTTTTTCTAAGTTTCTCATACTTAGCTTCAGTTATCTTAATCTCTCCATTATTTTTCATGGATTCTACCCATGAACAATGATTTCTTCCTTTCCAGGTCACTGAGTAACTTCTCTTGGTCCATTAGATCTAATGGATTTTCTATCTTTTGGCTTCCGTCTTCTTCCTTACGGATGGAGAGGAGTTGTCTCTCTTCAAGCTCTCTAAGGGTTGCATACATCTTATTTAGTCAACCTTGTGATGTCAATATCTAGCTTGAAACTTTTGAGGTTATTTCCCTACATGTATCACTTTGAGCAGGTTGGAGGAGTTCCTCTGAATTGTCTTTATCCGCATGTTGTAGTACCTAAATGTCAGAGATTGGCTATTTACATTCGTTTCTTCATGAATGTGGCCTCAGCGAAAGCCTTCGCATCATCACTTATGTACAGAGTGTCTAGTTTTTCAAGGCAAGGAAGATGGTACAGCACGTATGTCTGATAATTTCATAGGTTCAAAATTGGGTTATCACCGTAATGCGGATCGAAGAATGTAGCGATTCTTAAGTTAGGAAGACGATTTAAATTTAGCAATTCTTTGAAATTTCCAATGTGATTTCCGGCTAGGTTCAGATCTTCTAAATTATCCAGCCCGTCTAGGCCAGTACCTATAATTTCTATATTGTTCATCGCTAGGTTAAGCTCTCGTAGGTTAGGCAGCTGCGGGATCCCATCTAGAGTATCGATCTCGTTTTCACAGAGGTAAAGCACTTCGAGCGAGACGAGTCTTTCGAGTCCACATATTCTTGTTATCTTAATTATCATTAAGGTAAAGTTCTTTAAGCACAGTGCAGTTATCAAGGTTCTGGATCTCCTGGATTCCATTCTCGTTAAGCCAAAGCTGAGTGAGAGCACTCTGGTTGTCTAAACCTTCAATTTGAATGATTCCTTGCTTAATAAGAATCAGTTTATTTAAGGCCGGGGAAAGCAGAGACCCAGTCCATCCTGACGATATCATCTAAGACGTAGTCTATCTCCTGCACTTTATGCTTATTGTTCCTTTCATCTTGAGTCAAGCCGAGAGTGTTGCAGATGTACTCAAGTCTTTCTTCCATGTCACCTTGATTAGTTTGGAGAGAATTCATATTACTTTGTATTATATTATACAATAAGCAGTCAATTTTCTTTAACAAGTTTGGGGTTTTGGGGTTTTGGGGTTTTGGGGTTTTGGGGTTTTGGGG